CATCTCAAACTGCAGGGCACCCACAAGGGTGGGTTTATTCTGGCATTGAAGGGTGGGTTTATTCTGGCTTTTAGGGCCGGGTTTATTTTTGATGCTGCAGTGTCAGGTGACCCTTCCCAAGCAGCCAGCCCTGTTGCAGCACCTGAGCCCTCACACTTCTCTTGTGGTTTGGAGATGAGACCATCCCAGGGGAATACCTATCACAAATGCATCCTCTCTTTCATTAAAGACCAAAACAAATGGGGTTTGTTTCTTTTTTTTTTTTTTTTTTTTTTTCTTCCATCCAGCTGCAATGTTTTTCCAGAGGAAACACCTCCCTGCACACCTTTAATAATGACTGACCCAGTCCCTGTAGGGCTGGAAAAGCCCCTTTTCACAACCTCCTGCCAGCCTCAGGAACTGGGAAGCCCCATCACCAAACGGTGATGAGGAGATCCAGCTCTCAGTGGGAACAGACATTCCTGCTTAAATTGTCCCCAAGCCCTTTTTACGTCCCAATGATTTCCAGCTGACACGTGAGTGCCACCGAATTCCTTTGTCCTCGGCTCCCCAGAGAAACCCAGCACAAAACTGCGTTTCCTCCCTGGCTGGGTTGGGTTTCTTGCCCTTCTGGCTGCCAGTGTGCTCTGATGTTTCTCAGATGAGAGCAGAATGCTGGAACACATCTGCAAATGTGTCAGCAGCTGTGTCTGAGAGGCTCTGCAGTGACATCAGGCAGCAGCACTCCTGCACAGCCAGCACCTTGCTCCCCTCCTCACACAATGGGTGGGAGCTGGAAATGGGAAAATAGATTTGTCCTTCAGTTTCCCAGGCAGGGGAGAAGAGCACAAAAAGCATTTTCCTCCCTGTTCCACCACCCCACACACACTTCTCATGTCACCCAGGACAAATCCTTTCAGCCACGTGGCATCTGCCTGCCTTGCTAGAGCTCATCCCAATTATCACTTCTGTTGGGATGGCATGAATCATTCTGTAGGAATTCTGCTCTCCTCATTCACTCCAGACAGCACACAGAGGGCAAGTTTAGATGAGAAGAACAGCTCTGAGGCAGCTACAGCAAGATGAGTTCCACCTTTTGTCTCTGCATCTCCTTTTTGTGCCTCTAAAAGAAAGTTTTAGAGTAACAATTTCTTACCTGGTCAGGGTTTTCTGAAGGTAAATCCACTGAAAGACTGTCAGGTTGCCACTGGAGTATCTCCACTGGATTTTAAATCCTAAAGGATACACATAGTAACAACACAAAAAAATGGAGAAATGGCAGTTTAATGTTCTGTGTCTGAGTTAATCTGCCAGAGGGAATTTAGTCTTGGCATTTTGGCCCTTTTCAGCACCAGTTCCAAAACCATCTCCAAAATGACTCCTTCAAGCTGGGTGTAGCCAAGCCAGCTCTCCTCCGGTGGCTTCCCCCCCCAAAAAAAAATTATGGAACTCCCGTGAGACTCCTGAGGCTCCAGCATCTCCAGCCCTTCATCCACACAAGAACCCTGGGAAACCCAGAGCTGATGCTGGGATAGAAAGCTGCTCCCACACATCCAGCAGTGACAGGAGCAGCTCTCAGCCTGGGCCACTGAGAGACATCTGCACTCAAATTTCTTTAGATTGTGGAATTTTGCTTCACCTTAAACCTGCTGCAGAACATTCCTTCCCTAATCACTTCAGCCTTAACTTCCTTCTAATCTCTTTTTTTTTTTCATTCCTAATCCCCACTCTCTGCTGAAGAACACTAGGAACCATCTTGCTTGGATTTAGTATCCCTTTTCCCTGCTTTGTCAATCCCTTGGTCTCTGAGTTTTCTGAGGAAAGGACCCTGAGCTCCTCTGCACGTGAAGCAGCAAGGGCTCTCTGCTGGTCACAACCAGCTTAGGGTCTGACATTAAGTTCTATTCACTGCCCATTTATATTTTTTTCTCTTTTTTTTTATCTCTCTCATCACTTCTGCTCAATGCACAGCCTAAACCCAGCTTGGATTGTTCCTTATTCCCCAGCCAAGGCATCTGTTCCAGCCTACAACACTTAACACAACCACCAGCCAGATTCTGAGTGATGAAAACTAACACACATAAGACTCTCTATAAATCTGATTTAACTTGCATTTTGCAGACCAACTAATTACCAAAAAACCCACAAAACCTCCCCCTGAACGAGCAAACAGAATCTCAGCTCTGAGGCCTTGCTTGTCAATGAAGAAGATTCAGTTGAACTCACTGAGAAAAATGGAGCTCCATTTAGTGATTTTATAGCCCTTTTCCTGCAAAAAAAGCTTAGTTTAAATGTGCTCTGTGAGTTAATCTGGAGGACATCATCTCAAAGTGAATCCACTGAATGCCACATAATTTCCCTAAATTCAGTGTTTGATTTTTGCAGTGTTTTTTTTCCTGTATGACCTCTGCTATTCTGTCTTTGATTTGCCTTTTTAACATTTTCTTTTGTGTCTCCTGTGTAGGAAAGCAAGGAAGAACATGCAGCAACAGGGGTAAGTGTACTTGGACACTTTGTTTTCACCTTTTCTTTGTGTGCATTTAATTCCCTTTCAGTCCCATTGCTTCACTCAGAACTTGGTAGATCCTTATTCACAAAACTAAATATAAATCCCATTCTGCTATTCTATCACAGCCTTATTGTCTGGGAACAAAGACAGGCCTTTAAATCATTAGAAAAACCCTCTGTAAATGGAAGAAAAAATTGCATTTCAGAGTCTTCAATAAAATTTGCCAAGGACCTCCAAGGCAACTCTATCTTTGACAATCAATGACACCAATGTATTGGTGATGTTCCTTTGGCATAAGAACTTCTAATCCACCTGACCCGTGAGGGTGTTCATCCTGCCTTTCTGGTTGTGCAGGGATAATCCCTCAATGCAGTGATTTTCCCTGAAAAGTAATGATTTAAACCAGGAATCTGATTCCAACAGGTCCATTCCAGGCACGTGTTTAAGCAGGATTTTACTGCAGAGACTCAAATGTGACTCTTATTAAGACAGGAGGTGTCTGAGGGGAAAACCAAAGGTCTGAGCTGCTCATATAAGACCTGCAGTCCTGACTGAGAACTAATTCTATATTATTTGATAAGTTGATTATGCCAGGAAGGAATTCACATCACTTTTGCAGCCCAAACATTACATGAAGAGATGATGCTTTGATATAAAGCTCATTTCTCCACATAGAAATGCCTTTGGACAAGACTTTGTTGGAAGAGAAGGAGCAGAAGAGCCTACAAAGCAGATTTCAGCTGTTTTTCAGGGCAGAACAACACTCCAAAGCTTCATTTACTCTTGAAAGGCAGCAAGCACAGGTTGTTGTCTGTGCTGCACAAATTCAAGCTTTCAGATAACTGTTCCTTTGGTTGGCTGAGGCAAAGGGCTGTTGCCTTCAAATTGTGCCATTTCTTCCACATAAAACAGAGAAATAAGTTTTACAATTGAACCAAGGCTGTGCTATCTGACTCTGATTGATTTTTAGATCATTCAAGAGTCCAGTTTCTGTGCTCCAGGAATCTTGTTCAATCCTCCAAGAAATCACATAATTAAAAATACTAAACCTTATATCATGTATTTCACATTCTTATTTTGGATTCCTATATGGTAATTACAACTTTTTTCTCTAAAAAAAGGAGGAAGAAGAAGAGAAGCAGGAAGAGGAAGAAGGAAATGAAGAGGTGGAGGAGCCAGAAGAGTCTTAGTGCAGCTCCCTGTGACACATTATTTCTTGAACAGGTTTTCAGGTAATTATTGGGAAATTGAGCACAGTTTCTAAATATTCCAAAAGTAACATAAACTTGATAAAGAGGTCAGTATTAAGTGCCCATTAGACTCATTGCAGCTTCTCTTCCATCTGGAATGAGAATTCCTCCCTTACTCAGCTTCTGATTTCACTGACACTTTTAGGAGCTTCACGTCCCAAATGAAGCCCTTCTCTCAAATTTAGTTGAAATGTTAAAAAAGGAAATTACTGCTTGAAGGAGAGAAGCCTGACCAGAAATATGACACAACATAATCTTTTTCTGGTTGCCTTCGAAATTAGACCAAGTTTAATTCCAAACAGGAAGGGCCTCTGGAGCTGTGTGAGTGTCCAAGTTCTCTCCAGTTCTGTGGTTTCACATCTGTATTTTGTGATTCTTCATCCTGCTGACTCTTCTCTTCTTCACTGAAATATGGATCAGGCAATAACTTACCAGGGAAAAGCTGTTAGCCTACAAGAGAGCTGGAATTGCCAGCAGATTCTCCCTTGGGAGTTGGGATTTCCTCCCAGTCACAAAGCAAAAAATGCTCTTTCTAGACCTGGGGGGATCCATGGAATCATGGAACAGTTTGGGTTGGAAGGGACCTTAAAGATTGTGTCATTCCAACCCCCCTGGCATGGACAGAGACATTTTCCACTAGATCAGGCTGCTCCAAGCCCCATCCAACCTGACCTGGACAGGATTCCCAGCTAATTCAGGCTTTGCCAAGGATTTCACAACCTCAACTGGTGGGGCCTCAACTGGACAGAAAATCCATCACTTCTTTCAAACTGCCTCTCCTAAATCTGAGTTCCTCTGTTGCATGGGAATTAATTCACCCCAGTATTTCCAATATTCAGACACGTAAAATCATTGCTGAGTTCTGACCTAATTGTCTTTATTTTCGTTCAGGAAGCACCAGGCTGGAGCAGCCCCGCCAAAGAAACTAAAATCCCTCCCTCGAGCAAACCACCACTACCTTTTGTGCCTGTAGACTTCTAAACCTAGAAATGCATAGCAGAACACACCACTGTGTCCTCCCTGTGCCCTTTATATATATATATATATATATATTTGATAATCAAATTGCTTGTTCAAATGGGTCTTATGTCAGATGGATCACATTTCAGTCAATTGTTGTATGTTGGAATAGTGTTGTCCACGTCACATTTTAAGCTCCTCAGGGCAGGAACCGCGTCTTTCTCCGTGTTTATGCACACTGCCAAACACTTTACTGCCACTCAGCCACAGGGATGTCCTCAGAGAAAGAGAAATTCAGCCCCCAAAACTGCAGAGAGGCTTCCTGTGCCCAAACCATGTGAGCCACTTCTCCCTCAGCTGGCAGGTGAAAATGATTGAGATTTCCATTGTGCAGCAGGTTAAATAAATGTGTTTTCTGTCATATCTGCTCTTTGTCTGCAAAAGTGTTTATTTAACCCTTCCTGCAGTTTTAACGGAGAGGCACCAGACATACACACAGATCTATAAGATCACAAATATGTCCGCTTTATTGCAATCGTCCAGGGTTTTTATAACATCTCTACTCAGGGTCCCGTGACACGAAGCATACAATTGGACACCGGCTACCATCTAGTTGAAAACATTCATTACAAATTCCTTTATAATTGGACATTAAT